CCTTACATTTTCCAGGGATACAATGAGTACTTACAGATGGGTAACAGGATACTTTTGGTTTGCTCTAAATATGGAAAGACAATGACAAATGTAGCCAACGATGTGGGGGAAGGGGAACCCTCATCCATTGTTGGTCAGATTAAAACCAACTAGTCACCTAGGAAAATATAATGTGGTACTTTCTTTTTCTTCCTTTCTCCCTCCCTTTTTTTCTTTTACTTTTCTGAGACAGGGTTTCTCTGTGTACCAGCACTGGCAGTCCTGGAACTTGCTTGGTAGACCAGGCTGGCCTCAAACTGACAGAGATCTGCCTGCCTTTTCCTCCTGTGTGCTGTAACTAAAGGTGTGTGCCACTGTGCTCAGCTGATGTGGCACTTTCTTAAAAATTAAACCCAACCCTACCACAGAGCCTGGCAATTCCACTCCAGTCCTGGGTATCACCCAAGAAAAACAAAGACAGATAGTTTCATAAATTTGCATGTGAATGACAGTGGCAGGACTATTCATTGTACAGAGATGGGCATAGGGCACATGCCTGTAATCCTAGCACTGGGAAGACTGAGGCAGGAAAACAGGGCCAGCTGTACTAGAGAAAAGGTGGTCACCCCAGAGTGGAGTAGTATTCAACAATAAATAACATCAAATTACTGATTGGGTTAGGAGATGGCTCAGTGGATAAAATGCTTGTCATACAAACACAAGGACCTTAATTCAGATCCCATGGACCCACCTAAAGCCAGATGTGGTAGCCCTAGTGTGTAATTCCAACATGTATGTCTATGAGAGAAGGAGACAGGAGTATTCCCAGAAACTTGCAAACTAAGCTGACAGATACAATAGTGAATAAATTCCCTCCCTCGTACAAGATGGGAGGTAAAAACATCCAAGTCTGTCCTCTGACTTCTACACAAACATCTCAATGTACACACACACAGCACAGGACTATACAAAAGATAAACTGAGCCATGGCACAACATGGATGAATCTAAGAAGTATAAGAAGCCAGGGACAAAAGCTGACCTGCTGTGTGACTCCATTTTTAATGAAGTATCTGGCAAGGGCAACTCTATGAAAACACAAAGTAAAAGTGTAGTTGCTTGGGGTAAAAAGGAGATTTATAAGTCAGTCAAAGATGTGTGGAGGGCTCCCAGAGGCAACAAGCTGGCAGATTTCCACACTGATTAGTCAAGAGTGAAAAATCTGAAGAGATAGATACAAGCAGGAAGAAAAGAAATTAAATTAGGCCTGAGGAGGGATGCCACAAGCATGATGGAGTGAGTCCTCCTAGTTGAACTTCATCTCCTGTGACCAGACAGGCCGTCAGAATGCAGTCCCTGACATCCAGGGTGACTCAAACTGTGAGCATGCAGAAGCTAGCTGGAGACACAGGAGAGCTGGCACTTGAGGGGCAGAAGGACAGGCATTGGGAAGTACCCCAAAGAGGCCGGCAGCCAGCCTGAGAGCAGTAATGCGAACACCTCATCTTGAATTTGGCCTTGGTCCTAGAGACTAGAAGAGAGACCTGATGTCCCCTCCTGGAACTAGAGCCCTGGCACAACACAGCAGCATCTTCTCTGAGCCCATATCCCAAGCCAGCCTCATGGAGGCCTCTGCGGGAAGCCCCTACTCCAGCAAAGTCCTCTGTCCACAGGCTCTACTTTCCCTCCACCTCCTCATAGAACCCAGGGACATCATCACCATAGTTATTTATTGAGCTAGGCAGGGCCTGAGCCAGGCCCTGCCCCTAGGTAAACGGGCCCCACATGGACAAGGACTGTCCCCACACTGCTCATCCCTTCAGTCAGCCATCTATGTTGGAAAGATTGTCTTTGCCCTTTTTTAAAGCCTCTTTACATTTTTCAAAAACATAATTTTTTTTTTTTCAGCAGAGAAGGGGGGAGCTGACAACCACTTTTTTCTGTTTTGCTTTTGGTTTGTTTGCAGCTCTAAGTTCCCCTGTGGAACCTCACAGTTCCAGTAGTAGGGAAAGGATTTGGACTCAAAAGTAATTGACCAATTCTTTGCCCTAGAGAGTGATATTTAGGTTTCAGGAAATAAATACTAACGATTTGTGGAGGGAGGAAGGGAGGGATATTGATCGATCTGTGGAAGGTGACAAAAATGGCCTATAGCTAGATAGTAGTATTATAATATAATAGTGACAATTATAGTAAATAATGAGTAATTACAAGGAACTAACAATTAAACATGTGACTTTTATGTACAGAAATTATACCTCAAAAAAGTTGCTTTTAAAAAGTAAGGAATAAGCCATGCATGACAACACACACCTTTAGTACTTGGATGGGAACCAGGCAGATGGGATCTGTGAGTTCAAGGCCAGTCTGGTCTACAGAGTGAATTCCAGGGCAGCCAGGGCTACACAGAGAAACCCTGGCTATTGAGAGAGAGAGAGAGAGAGAGAAGGAGAGAGAGAGAGAGGAATATGCAGAAAGGTCAAAAGACAACAACTGTGAGAAGACCAAGAAAACAAATGAGAGACGGAAAATACAGATAGTGAATTAAAAATGAAGAGATTCAGCCAGGCGTTGGTGGCGCATGCCTTTAATCCCAGTACTCAGGAGGCAAAGGCAGGCAGATCTCTGTGAGTTTGAGACCAGCCTGGTCTCCAGAGTGAGTGCCAGGATCGGCTTCAAAGCTACAAAAAGTCGAGAAGATGGGGGCTGGAGAGATGACTCAGCGGTTAAGAGCACTGGCTGCTCTTCCAGAGGTCCTGAGTTCAATTCCCAGCAACCACATGGTGGTTCACAACCATCTGTAATGAGATCTGATGCCTTCTTTCAGCTTGCAGGCGTACATGCAGACAGAACACTGTATACACAATAAGTAAATAAATAAATCTTAAAAAAAAAGTCAAGAAGAGAGACGAGACATCAGTGGGAGAGGGCAGGATTAGGATTAGCCACAGAGCAGGTACATGGGAGCTCATTATACAACTGTACCTACTCTGGTACATTTAAATTTTTTGGTGCTAAAAGGTTTTTATAAAGATCAATGCTATAGAAATGGCTCAGCAATTAACAAAATGTACAGCTCTTTCAGGGGACGCAAGTTCGATTCCCAGCACCCACATGGGGCAGCTCACAACTGCCTATTACTCCAGTTCCAAGGCACCTGCACACACACACACACACACACACACACACACACACACACACACACACACACACACACACACACACACACACACAGAGAGATACACATAAAAAATGAATCTTGGGCTGGAGAGATGGCTCAGAGGTTAAGAGCCCCGGCTGCTCTTTCAGAGATCCTGAGTTCAATTCCCAGCAACCACATGGTGGCTCATGACCATCTGTTATGAGATCTGGTGCCCTCTTCTGGTGTGCAGATATACATGGAAGCAGAATGTTGTATACAAAATAAATAAAATCTTTAAAAAAATGAATCTTTAAAAAAAAAAATCAATTCATATTCCTGATACTTGGTGATCACTTCATGTTCTTGCAAGTCTGGGTTTCTAACCTGATCAAGTCTGTACTTCCCTACTTCAAGCAAAGCAAGACCATCTCGTTCTTCTTTGATAGACATTCTGCCACTAAACATCATGTACTTAGACAATAGTTAAACAGCCTAAGAAAAAAGTTTCTGGTACCAATTATTGAATAAGCTTAGGGAACATATTACAAGAGAAAAAAAACAAGTCATTTGGCACAGGAAAGAATCAATCACAGAACTACACTAAGTTGGCACAAGAGAGAAATCAACAGCAGAACTACTCTAGGTTTGCTTCTATCTCTAAGGCTGGTATTTAAGGTTGGTATATAGTGGGCACTAAGGTTGCCCGATATAAATACTGCCAGTGTTTACCTAATGACACCAGGCACCTGGCATTTTAATACTAGAAAGGTTGGTCAGGGAACTAGGAGACATGGTGTTAGTGTGTCCTGTTGCAAGTTTTATTTTTACTTCCTAAGCTTTGTGTGGCCTTCAAAAAGCATTTCTCTGGAGAGAGCTACTACAGCTCTCAGTGGATCTTCAAAAGGAGCCAAGACTGATCTGTCTTGCTGTGTGCGGTTAAGAGTCACTTTACTTGAGATCATTTTTATTTACAAACAAAAGCTGGCAGTGCAAGTATGCCTGTACGGATCTGGCCAACTTTCAAATCTAGAGTCTGTATTCTTTAAACTCTACATTCACAAGACTTGATGCTTCACGATTAATACAAGGTGCTGTACAAGACAACTGTGTCCAGGTCCACCAACTTATTGGAACACTATTAGGAAAATGTGCAAGGCTTTGAGTCATAGCGATGTCATCGTCTGTTCCCCAAATATATTAACCTGCTGACAACCACGTGTAAGCCTTTAGAGAACTTTAAATTGCGGTTCCTGGTGTTCATTCCAGGTCTGTCACAAACATCTCCTTTAGGCAACGACCATAGAGAGAGAAAGAAAGAGCCCCACTACTTAGAAACACTTTGAATGCTGAATTTGAATTCTCAGAGACGTTCTCACTTTTTATTTTTCTTTTCGAAATTAAGCCATATATTTCAAGCGAAATTTGAATACCTTTTGGGGATCCTCGCTTTGGTCAGTCAGTGGAGCACCCTAAAGTAAGCAGGGGAAAGGCACACACCTTCAAAGCGCCAGGTGCTGGCGAAGCGGAAGGGCGGAGAGGCGGACGGGAGGAACTGGGATTGAAGATGTGTGAGGGTGAGTAGGGAAGGGTGGTTACCACCGGCACGGATCCCAGGGAAGCCAGTGGGGATCGCAGGGGCGGCCTCCCAGGTCCTCTGGGCTTTAGGCCGCGGCTGAGCCCCTCCCCAAGACCTCAAACCCGCAGGGCCCAGACTACCCGAGGCACCCGTACCGCATAGTCCGTCCCCACAGGGCCGCGCAGACCCCTAGCTCGGGAGCCAAACTTAGAGACCCCGCAGGGCCGAAGTTGGCTCAGCCCGGAGCAGCTGTCGCGCCCCCGTCTCCACGCCCTGTCCCTGTCCCCCCAACACCCGGCCTTACTTTGAGCGCCAGGTGGTGGACACGGCCCAAGCAGGGGTCGACCAGTAGCTCCAGCAGCGCCAGCAGTGGTAGCAGCCGTAGACAGCAGGAACTCGAGCGGCCGAGGGGCACCGGGACTGCCATGTTTGTTCCAGCATCACCAGCTACTTCCTCTCCCATCCACTTCCGGGTCAAAGTGCGGTATCCCGGAAGAGTTCTGGAAGGGGGCGCGGCCGCTACCTCTGAGGTCCCTAAGATCGTTTTAGTGCGAAATACGTCTGTTTGCTCACGGAGGGCCCCGAGCGGGCCATCTCGGGACTTTTCACTTAGCTTTTTCAGTGCGGACTTCCAGTGAAGGCCCTCTGAGAACCCTGAGCGTTTGCCACGACAGCCATGGCGGGGCAAGACCAACCCGGGCCTCCTTTTCTGCCTCGCCTGGCTTGGGGAGTGAGGGACCTGGACCAAAGGCTGGAACCTGCAGTGGCTGCCACGCACTCCCTGGCTGTTGATTGGCCTGTCGTTGGCGGTAATATCTTTGATCCCTTGATTTGTTATTATCCTAGGCCCCAAATAGTTGCAGTAATGGGATGAAGCAATCCACTTTAAAAGCGGTGGCATTTAATCTTTGGGACAATCTAATCAGATAAGAGGTAGGTGTCATATTTATCCCCGACTCTGCCTAAGCTCTGAGAAATGGCCTTTCCCCCCGACCCCACAGCCCCCCCCCTGCCTCTGCCTCCCTGGTTCTGGGATTAAAGGTGCGCACCACCAACGCCCGCCCGGCCTGATACGTCATTTTGCCTCCTGTGATTTCATGCCACCACTAGAGTCTGAGCTGTAATGTCTTCTATTTTAGTGTCTGTGGAAACTTTGCTTCTGGTCCTTAGCACGTGAGGACTTAGTAGTGGTCCCTGATGCCATTGTTTATCAAGGAGATACAGGAAGCAAGTATATTAAAATTGCTGATAGTCAAGTTTGTTTAGTTTTTACATTCTTTTTTTTCCTTTTTTTTTGTCTATTGTTTTGTTTTTTTGTTTTGGTTTTTTTGTTTTTTGGGTTTTTTTTTTGTATTTCGAGACAGGGTTTCTCTGTAGGTTTTGGAGACTGTCCTAGAACTCTCTCTGAAGACCAGGCTAGCCTAAACTCAAAGAGATCCTCCTGCCTCTGCCTCCTGAGTGCTGGGATTACAGGCATGTACCACTACTGCCTGGCTTTAGATTCTTGTTTATAAATGGACACACAAGTAATACATTTGAATGTGTTCATGTGTCTCTGTGTGTTAATTATTTAAACAAAACAGGACACAATAACCACTAGGAATCCTACTACCAGGCAAACCACTCACGTATAGGTGTGTTGACACATAATACAGAATCAAATTCCTAAAACTTAACTGCAATTAGGAACAGAATATATAAGCATTGTTTGTTTGTTAATTTTTATTTGGGTGCTTGTGTGTGTGTGTGTGTGTGTGTGTGTGTGTGTGTGTCATGTGCAGGTAACTAAGGAAACCAGAAGATAGTGTCAGATCCCCTAGAACTGGAGTTAACATGCAGTTGTGAGTTGCCTGACATTACGGGTGCTGGAAACTGAATGCAGGTCCTCTGGAAGAGCAGTAAGTGCTGTTAACCATGGAGCAATGTCTCCATCCCAACATGAATGTATCTGTCGATATCTATCTATCTATCTATCTATCTATCTATCTATCTATCTATCTATCTATATACATATATGTAGATAGCTAATTTAGTTTATTTATTTTTATTTATGTATCTGTGTGTGTATATATGCCATTGGGGGCGGGGTACCCAAAGAGAACAGAAGAGGACAACAGCTCCCCTGGAGCTGGAGTTGTGATTGTGGTTGTGATCCACCCATTGTGTTTGCTGGTAACCCAAGCTCCAATCCTCTGGATGTCCAACAACTGTTGAGCCATCTCTGCAGCCCAACGTGATATACTTCAACGGCACAAAACAGTCAACTTAAAATTTTCATTTGGGGACTGGAGAGATGGCTCAGCGGTTAAGAACACTGACTGTTCTTCCAGAGGTCCTGAGTTCAATACCCAGCAATCACATGGTGGCTCACAACCACCTTGAATGAGATCTGCATGCAGGCAGAAGACTGTATACATAATAAATAAATAAAATCTTTAAAATTTTTTTTTCATTTGGAGCTGGCATTGGTGACTCATACTTTGATCCCAGCGATCTGGAAGCAGAAGCAGGTGGATCTCTGAGTTCAAGGCCAGTCAGGGATACACAGAGAAACCCTGTCTTCAGAATGAATGAATGAACAAATAAATAAATAAGGAAAAAGGAAGGAAGGATTCACTTGTTTGGGACTATCCTGTCTAATAATAATAATAATAATAATAATAATAATACACAAATCACTTGGGAAAATGCTGAAGTATGGAACTGAAAGTGAGATGGGGTTCTAGAAGGCTCCTCTATTTCCCTATGTGTGTGCAAATCTAATCCTTCCCTTGACTAAAAACCAGTGTAAGCCCAGCCACACCCTCTTCAAAGGCGAAAGTAGAACATGTAGGTGGAGACACAAAGGTTTTCATTTATCTTAAAATACCTTTGAGTTTCATGGGAGGGAAAGGCAATGACTACTGGTTGGTGGCTGTCCTTCCCTTCCCTTCTCTTGAGTCTTGGGCCATCTCTTTTGAATATGCAATCTTCCAAGTTTGAACAGGATTTTCATCTGATCCCACCCCCTTACAGATAATGTAACCTAGAGCAGGAAAGTCTAGAATTAATCTTTTGCAGCTCTATGCAGAGAGATGAGAAAGTGTTTCCTGAGTGACCTGAATCAGTTATGTGATCTATATGTATGTTATGTCATCTAAAATCAGGAAAGTTACAGAGTGTATTTCCTTTTTTCAGATGAGGTTTGGTTGGATTAACTAACTCAGAGACAGTCTGTCCCTGTATAAATGATCCACCAGCACACTCACTTACCCTACTCACAAAGCCCAAGACAAAAACCTCTGTCCTGCCCTGCTGCAGAGAAAGACCATGGCATGCTGTGTTAGACTGGAAGGCTCTGTAGGTAACCCAGATTTGTTCACTTTCTTTACCAGGTGTGAAATCAATGCTAAGGGACACTGTGACTTTCCAAAGATCACACAGCTTTTTGGGGGTAGTTTTAGCAGGCATCTGTAAAACCAGGACTGAAACTTCAGTTGCTTACAGAAATGGATCTGGGCTTCTTGCCTGATATTATGAACAGCTTTGTGATTTTTTTAGAGAGTTATTATTCTATTTTTATTTTGTGTATGTGTATGTGTATGGGGGGTGCATGTGAATGCAGGTTTCCTGGAGGACAAAAGAGGGTTTCAGAGCCCCTGGAGCTGGAAGGAGATAGTGAGCCCGTTGATATGGGTGCTGGGAACCAAACTGAGATCTTCCACAAGAGCAGTACACATACTTAACTGCTGAGCTGCCTCTCCAGCCTCAGCTTTCTGAGTTTTGTAATTTTTTATTTTTGTTTGAGTTTTTCCAGACAGGGTTTCTCTGTGGCTTTGGAGGCTGTCCTGGAACGCACTCTTTAGACCAGGCTGGTCTTGAACTCACAGACATCCACCTGCCTCTGCCTCCTGAGTGCTGGGATTAAAGGTGTGCGCCACCAATGCCCGGCTGAGTTTTGTAATTTAAAAAAGGTAGCGAGCTGGCATGGTAACATAGCTATGACCCTAGGATGGGAAGTCTGAAGTAAATGACACCTGTTGGGGATGTAGCTTAGTAGTCTAGCATGTGCAAGAATGAGGCCTTGGATTCAGTCCCGTGTCTTCACACACACACAGGGAGAGAACCTTCAAAAATCATGAAAAAGTAAGAATTCGAGAACTCTGATACTGTGTTTTGGGAAGCAAGAAGAGAAGCTAAAGACAGCTACAGGAAAAATTACACATTTATGTATGCATATATGTGTGTGTGCCTGAGCGTATGTGTGTACATGCCATATGCATGCAGGGGCCTGTGGAGGCCAAAAGAGAGCATGTGTAGGCTGAGGGTTGAAACTGGGTCGTCTGGATGGGCCATCTATGATCTTAATTATTGAGCCATATGGAATTCAACTTTTTTTTTTTTTTTTTTTTGGTTTTTCAAGCAGGGTTTCTCTGTGACTTTGGAGGCTGTCCTGGAACTAGCCCTTGTAAACCAGGCTGATCTCAAACTCACAGAGATCGGCCTGCCTTTGCCTGCTGAGTGCTGGGATTAAAGGTGTGCGCCACCACCACCCGTTAAGTGATTTTTTTACTTAAAAAAAAGTTAAGTAAACAGAAGACAGTTTTTTTAAAGATTTTATTTCTTTATTATGCATACAATATTCTGCTTCCATGTATATCTGCACACCAGAAGAGGGCACCAGATCTCATAAAGAATGGCACCATGTGGTTGCTGGGAATTGAACTCAGGACCTTTGGAAGAGCAGTTGGTGCTCTTAACCTTTGAGCCATCTCTCCAGCCCCAGAAGACAAATTTTTAAGTGAGTTTTTCCTTTTTAATATTCTAGTGCTGAGGATTGAACCAAGGCTTCATGCATGCTAGACAAGCCCTTGTCTACTGAACTATTTTCCCATCCTATTGTTACTTTTTAAAGACTGGTGCCTAATTGATAATACTAATCTAGACTAGAGAGATAGCTCAGAACTTGAGAGCACTTACTGATCTCATAAAGGACTGGAGTTTGTGTCCTAGAACTCACATGGTGACTAACAACCACCTGGAACATGAGTTCCAGGGGACCCAGTGCCCTCTTCTGGCCTCCATGGCCATCTGACACACATACATATATGCAAATAAACATACACATAAATATAATAATAATAAAAGCCAGGCTTGATGGCACATGCCTTTAATCCTAGCACTAGGGAGGCAGAAGCAAAGGCAGATGGATCTCTGTGGATTCGAGGCTAGGCTGGTCTACATAGTAAGTTCCAGGACAGTCAGAGCTGCAAAGTGAGACCCTGTCTCAAAATAATACTAATAAGGTGGGGCTGGAAAAATGACTCAGTGGTAGTGGCATTTGCTACTCATCCAGAGGACCCAAGTTCAATTCCTAGCACCCACATCTGGAAGCTCACAACCACCTGTCACTCCAGCTCCAGAGGATGCAATGTCTTCCTCTGGCTTCCATGGGCACCCCCGCATACACATATACACACATAAGTAAAAAC